GAAAAGGGGTTCGCGCTTGCTCACTGATGGCTGATTGCTTGTCGCACAGCTGCGGGCAAATTGTAGACATTTTTATAATATAATATTTTTTTTCTTTTTATATTTCTTTGCTATTTTGCTTTAGATCATTATGGATTAGCTGGCTGTTTGTCTGCTAATTTGTGCACATAAATTGTGGCGCATGTTGGGCTAAGCGAAATAGAGCAGTAAAGCAGTGGATAGTGTAATAAGTACGTGATATTTTAGATGGTATCTCAATGATGTAGACTTTATGTCGCTTTCAAGGAGTTTTTTTTACTCAAAATTATGTTTTATACATAAAAAAAAAATTAAAATTGTAATAAATGTTGAGCAAAAGTACTGAAAAAAGCAACAATATCGTCTTCTTTTCTCATTATCTGTTGATGTACTTGTATATTTATTAATTTATTTATAATAATGTATATACAGTTTTCATGATGCAATCAATCAACTACATATCTGATCGACTTATTATGCCTAGGCTCACTTAGATAGATCTATGTAGGGGCAACTTTAGTTCTAGTAAGTTTTCAGGCAGTTCAAGAGTTTTATTGATACATATAAATAATTAATAATATAGAAATTAAACACTTAATATTGTTTTATATGAATAAAAGAACAACATAGTTTTCTCATAACTGTTGCTTTTGAACAACATCTTTGAAAAATAAATAAAATGTTTGTACTAGAAAAAGAATAACTACATATTGCTTTAGTTTCCGATTCTACGGCGAAATACAGATCTGTCCAATACTTGTACTATAGTGAACTAGTGAATCAGGATAAATCAATCTTAGTTTTTACAAAGGTACAGCAGCGACAGAAATGATCGATGAATCAATTTCACCTTAACATCTAAACTATTGATCAATTAATTTGTTATGAAGTACACTGGAGCTACGTACATATTTTTCCTAAGAGAGCAAAAAAAAATATTGACCAATTTTGATAATTTTTGGGTGTTAGTTTTTCGATCAGATTTCAACTATTTTCATGCCGTAACAAAAAGTACACAATGTTCCAAACAAGTTTTGATGTCATAGCTTTAGAAATTAACGAGATATAATTATGTAGACTGTAATTGAGCTCGGAAACTATTTTCAAATGAATTAAAAGAAATTTTTAAAATATTATTATAAGTTACAATATATACAGCATTTAGTTTTATATTTTCTAATTTTATGAAACCAAATTTTTACTGTAAATTTTTTTTTTAATAATTTTTATTTTTACATTTCGATTTTAGCATTATCTGCCATTTGACACTTACTTATACACACGTATCGCCATATTCTTATATACAATTTTTACTTTTTCATTTTTCCTGCATCACTTTCGTGAACTCATTACGCGGAAATTTGTATGCTGGCGTGTGCGACGGCCACGCAATCGAACAGAAGACTCAAGCGAGCAACGTGATTAAAGCAATAAATTTTTTATTCGAGACTTAATCTTGCGACAGTAAAACCATAAGCTCGCTCGCTCGCTACGTGCATGCTTCACATATAAGTAGTATGCAAAAACTATAATACATCTGTACATATATACTTAAATGCGTAAGTAAACATGTATTTGCTTCCTGGAAGTCTGCTGGCCTTTTTGTCGCACGCAGTGGCAATAAAGCAATTAACTGTGCCGCAGATTTATTATGACTTTATGAAATTTATGCAATATTACGTAAATTTTTCCTGAAGAAATTAAGAAATTGCGAAACGTAATTGCGATGGCATGAGGTGTGTAAATATTAGTTGAAAATAAAAATTATGGTTTTTCATTATTATTTCCTTTTTAAAAAAAGGAAAACTAAGCTATCAAAAGCTCTTCAGATGTTATTTGCAAATCTTCAGTTTTTATAATTTTTTAATTAAATTTATCTCTAAACAGATAAAGTTTGAAAAAATTAAAATATTTGTATATAATAAAAAAATTTGAATATTATAAGATATTAAATAAAAGATATTAAATATATGTGAATGGATATAGCTATATAATACTATTGAGTTCAGTTTATCAAAGCATCAAAGATCGGATCAACTTTTTACCGTCCATCATGGGCTAAATCAGAGCTTTAAAAAGTCAAATCAGTTCAAGATAATTCGAAGCTATACTCTACACTAATAGAAAATTTAATATATAGAGTTGCCTGCTATCAAACATGTCAAACTTTGTGAATTATAATACAGTTATTTGTCACACGAAAGAAGTTAGAAAAATATTTTTAACATTATGTAATTCACACATATTTTGGATAGAGTTGCCACATTTTTAATCAACTATTAGCTAACAAATTATTAGAAATTATATGCCAACCGAAAGATGATTTACAAATCGCTCCAGATATTAGTCGAAAAAATGTTCATTTAAAGCTTTTTAGAAAAATAGTTGTCACCTATCGCAAGAAGTAAAATTAAACAAATATATATATATATGATCAGCGCGACGAGCTGAGTCGATTTAGCCATATCCGTCTTTCTGTCCGTCCAAATGTACGCAAACTAGTCCCTTAGTTTCGGAGATATCAGTATAAAAATTTTACACACGTCTTTTTTTTCAAGAAGTACTTATTTGTCGGAACCGGCGATATCCGGCCACTATAACATATAGCTGCCATACAAACACGTGGATCAAATTCGAGCTCTTGTATGGAAAAGTTTTTGTTTTAACAAAATATCTTCATAAAATTTGGCATAGATTATTATTAAAAGCAACGCGACAATCTCCGAACAAATTGTTGAAATCGGAAAATTATAGCATATAGCAGCTATACAAACTAACGGAAAATTCTAGATAAATATCTTGTTATAGTTTTTTATGCAATAAAAAATGCACATGTGTAGGGTATTATTACTTCAATGTAGTCGAAGTGAACGTTTTTTCAATTTTTTTTTATCTATTTTCCTTTGTAGGTTATTTCCTTATACATCTTTCTCTTTCTAAAGAAAAATTAAGATTATTTAATGCAATTTTTTCCACTGATCACTTCCCGGTAACTTAATTCAATGCCGTGTAAAGTCAAGTTCAATTAATATAGCGTTACCGCCAACTCAATAGCATTTGTATTGTAAAAAGCGAGTATGTGTCTAAGAGACAAGAGTGCGCACGCGCGCTTACTTACATGCCCGTGTAATCGAATGCGTCTAAGAGCAGCAGCAACAAATGGCAGGCAATACATATGTACATATATAAATATATAAATAGACATCCCTATATATACGTCTTGGGTAATCGAGCGAGCAGCAGTGCACACAGCACACATACATACTCGATCCAACGACAAGGCAGTCAATGCCATAACCCGAGATTGAATCTCGACGCTAAATGGAAGCAACAGCAACTAAACTTGCCAGCGGAGAGGAACAGTTAGAATCGATGGTAAATTTATGTGAGGCTCGTGCTAAGGCACTTAATATTGGTGGTCTAACAAGTTACACATTACATATATACATACAAACACACACATACACATTTCTAGCTAGACATTCATACACGTTGCATTACAACTAACATACAAGCGCAGCAAAACAGCATCGACAGTGCATTGATGAGCAACAAGGTACTTAAAAAGGCCATACACACCGAAACCATCCGGAAGGGGGCGTTGGGCATTGGCTAGGCGCGAAGCACAGACTACTGGTGTTGTTGGCAGCGCAAATGTGTCTTGCACGTCAATGCGGGATATTTATGATGCTGTCAAACGGTCGCGTTGTTTTTGTTATTGGCACTTTGCTGCTTATTTGTTGTTTTAATTTTGTTTATTCTTTACAGCGCTATCATTTTCAACCATTGTAGTTGATTTTATTGCCATTTCAGTGCTTTAACTATTAGACTCCATAATAGTTAGGAGCTGTTTGTTGTTGTTGTTATTCGCTTCTACAGTGCTCATTATTATGATGGTACATGTTGTTAAATGATGTTGTCGCCGTTAGAATGGCACACCACTCGACTCTCAATGCTGTATGGTGAATGGTGGGTAGTGTGTTGGGGGCGAGGGGTGTAGCAACACTTAGAAAGCTGTTATAAAACTTGCTATGAGCATTTGCTCCATGTTTATATGCTGTTCCACGCATTGTTGTTGCACAAAACGGCAAGGAAATGTTATTTAATTGTGCTCATAAAGCCAAGATTTTCAATTACCATTCTAAGGAAATTAAATCAAAAGACTTTGGACACGAACTTTGCCAATTGTTATATGGCTATTAGTTGGCAATGCGTCGAAAGGCGAGCGTACATAGCATGGAGCTGTACAAATCTGTTCTCGATACAGAGTAGACTGTAATTATAAGGCTAGTATATAATTGTGAAGTGAAAAAGTAAAAAATATATTAAATGTTATATATTATTCGTTCTGATTATATTATAAGTTTTTTACATATTTTTAATTTAAATTTTTTTACCCTAAACAGGGTATAAGAAGTTTGCAACACAAGAAAACGTTGGTTGCCCTATATTAAATATTCATAAATGATCAGCGTGACAGGCTAAGTTGCTTTATTTGTGTCCGTCTGTATACTATACGCGAACTAGTTCTCCAGTGTTTGAGATATCGATCTGAAAATTTGCAAACGTGCTTTTCTCCCCAAAAAACTAAACATGTGTCACAATCGTCGGTATCGGATCACTATAGCATATAGCTGCCATACAAACTGAACGATCGAAAATTTTTTTTATTGGCAAGATATCTTAACGAAAGTTGGCATGAAATAATGCAGTAGACAACCCTACAATCTCCGAACAAATTGTTTAGATTGTACTACTAAGGCATATAGCTGTGATACAAACTGACCGATAAAAATAAGTCCTTGTAAGAAAAACTTTTTTATTTGTCAAATTATTTTCACTAAATTTGGCATAGAACACATTATTTAGTTCGGAACAGTATAGCATATAGCCGGCATACAAGCTACCCTATTCAAATCAAGATAACGATCTATTTGTTCCCTTCTATGTTATAAGAAATGCAGTTATTTGATTTTATTCTATCCTTTTTTTAATTTAATTTTATTTTATTTTATTTTTTATTTTATATTATTCAATTCTATTTTATTTTATCTTATTTTATGTTTTTATGTTAAATTATTATTTTTTTTGCTTGAAGCTCTTAACTTTCAAATATAAATTTAGATTATAATTTTATATAAATAAGTCATTCAGTATTAACCGTTAATAACTTTTAAGGATCTTAAATTAACATACTTCTTATATAACTCATAAATTGCTAATTAACATTGACGATACTTTGCGTAAAATACTTCCTTAACTCCTTGATCGCATCTTTTCAACACACATACATACATATAAAGCATGAATATAACAATGGTTGTGCTTTTGTCT